AGAAATATAAGTAAATTTCCCAAGGTAGCTCGAGGAAAGCGGTTATCCTCGTACTTGATAAAAATAATAATCGAGCCGTAAATTTCTATTTCTCGTGGCGAAGGTATGTTTTAACAAACGCCTGGGTCATTTATCAAGTCGTTTTTCATTAATTCATCTGCGCATAACCTCGTAAAAGATACGACGTAAGCTAATAAATAAACTAAATAACTTTCTTTTTTACAATCTGTCCCTGCTCACCTCGCGCTATGACATTTATTGCAAGGAACGAGAAAAAGTGGCACGCGTTTGATAAACAACCAAAGCAAACACACGCATGTCCTCGGATTTAAGCTGTACATATGTCATTTCTTTTTTTTCCGAGATACAACGTATTCGATTATTTTGTTTCAATTTGCCTAACGTATTCACGTTTTCAGGCCAAGCATATGTCAGGTTATGAAAAAATCATTTAAGCAATTGCATTAAACATTTATTCTGTGTACGCACACATCTTATACACGCATACACACGCAGATGAAAAGAGAACTCGAAGACAATGCTATCTATCGCGCATAAAAATTCCAAAAATAAACCACATGTTCTCCCCTCTACTGTCAAGCTCGCTGTTTATGGATGAGCCTGAGTAGGATATCGAAGACAAACAACTTCGTTCGGTGAGGATTGAAACGCTCAACATTCAATGTAAAATACATTACGATCTGCGTGAGTGTTAAAAAAAAACTCCGTATTCAGAAGAAACATTCAAACGGACGTTTGGCATTCGACTCGTTGCTAGATAGCCACTAAACGGATATAAGAGGGCTAAGCATATATATATATATATATGGGTCAAAATTATAGTTCATCGAAAAACCGTGCGCACGGGGTCCTCCGATTTTATTGAAAATTAGTACACGTATTCTACATAAGAAAAAAAGAAACTGCCCAAAATTTCAGCCCCCTAGATAAAAAATTAGGCCCACAGGACTGTTTCAAAGATCAAAAAATCGCCTTTTTTAAGCGTTTTTCGACCTATTTTCAGTTGCTTCTCAAATCTCGAGTTTTAAAGCTACTTGAACAAGCAGGGGCTCATTTTCTTTGTCTTCTCAAGAGCTTTATAGCGCCGTAATATAAAATATAGGTTCGTGTAATAATAAGAATCCTAGAGACCCAAAAGTGCAGAGTGATTTTTACGATTTTTGCCTATGTTCAAGGGCCGTAAGACAGTGAATTTTCAATATTTACAATTTTTGAAGGACGGCATTGGATAGCTCTTGAAAAGACAAAGAAAATGAGACCCAGCCCATTTCTGTAGATTCAAAAGTGACGGAGATATGCTACTTTAAAAATAGCTATTTTCGTGAAAATCGCGTTTTTTGCTGATTTTGACCTAGCTGGAAAAAAATCTGCCTGTTTCGATTTGTCTCAAAATTTCAGAGGATGTTCTTCAAGTGTTCCTCAACAGAGTGCAATAATTTTTTTTCTGTATATCGGCTGATTTGTGTGCTTTTTCAGCTATGAAATATGCGAGTTTTCAGATTTTTCGTACGAGAACGATCAATATCTATTCATCGGTTTCTCTATCTTCTAAGTTTCATAAACGTAATTTTCAGCAAACAGTCATAATTGTATACTCCAAAGATTAATTGAAAATCATAAACTATATTTACATACTTACTGTGCATAATTATTTGGGTTAGTTGCGTAGGTTTCGACAGGAACTTTACGAAGTATTACTCAAAGCTACACATTCAAGTGTTGATGTATTTCAATATAATTCAAGGGATATAATTAATCTTTCTACAACAATTGAAATAAAAAGAAATCGAATTCTTATCAGTACAGCAATAGAAATATGACTAGTCGAATATATTCACAATAAATGATTCTTGGTCGGAAGAATAAAATTTCACTTTCATAGTTTTTTGATCAATTGGTTCAAAAAAGTGATATTGTCTGGTATCCTTAATAGTTTTTGCTGATGAAAACCTCTTAGCGAGTGATTTTCCTCTTGCCTCAACTGCACTATCATCAACATACAATATTCTGTAAAGAAAGTGTACATATATAATTTGTTTGACTAAATTTTCGGCAAACTTCTATCATATTAACTTACTTTATCTTCGATTCTTTAGTGGACAAATAATCGTGCATTTGCTTTGCATTCAAAATTTGAACTCCTTGCTTCGATGCTTTTCTTGCAATGCGCTTTACCACAGCCCCTATACCATCACATGCACTTTTACCATGAGATGTAGCGAAAAAATTGTAGGAAACTATTTTCAGTCCAAAGTCTTTTTCATGATAGCACAAATTCCCAAAATGATTTCTGAAAATGATATAGAATATCAATTCTATTAAGTCTTTTCTTTGAAAGAATACATTTTTTTGATAGGAGTATAGCAACACACAAATAAAAAAAATTTTTACTATTAATTTACAACAAAATACATATATTTAAATATATTTATTTTATAAGTATTTTGTTGTAAATTAATAGTAAAAATTTTTTTTATTTGTGTGTTGCTATACTCCTATCAAAAAAATGTATTCTTTCAAAGAAAAGACTTAATAGAATTGATATTCTATATCATTTTCAGAAATCATTTTGGGAATTTGTGCTATCATGAAAAAGACTTTGGACTGAAAATAGTTTCCTACAATTTTTTCGCTACATCTCATGGTAAAAGTGCATGTGATGGTATAGGGGCTGTGGTAAAGCGCATTGCAAGAAAAGCATCGAAGCAAGGAGTTCAAATTTTGAATGCAAAGCAAATGCACGATTATTTGTCCACTAAAGAATCGAAGATAAAGTAAGTTAATATGATAGAAGTTTGCCGAAAATTTAGTCAAACAAATTATATATGTACACTTTCTTTACAGAATATTGTATGTTGATGATAGTGCAGTTGAGGCAAGAGGAAAATCACTCGCTAAGAGGTTTTCATCAGCAAAAACTGTTAAGGATACCAGACAATATCACTTTTTTGAACCAATTGATCAAAAAACTATGAAAGTGAAATTTTATTCTTCCGACCAAGAATCATTTATTGTGAATATATTCGACTAGTCATATTTCTATTGCTGTACTGATAAGAATTCGATTTCTTTTTATTTCAATTGTTGTAGAAAGATTAATTATATCCCTTGAATTATATTGAAATACATCAACACTTGAATGTGTAGCTTTGAGTAATACTTCGTAAAGTTCCTGTCGAAACCTACGCAACTAACCCAAATAATTATGCACAGTAAGTATGTAAATATAGTTTATGATTTTCAATTAATCTTTGGAGTATACAATTATGACTGTTTGCTGAAAATTACGTTTATGAAACTTAGAAGATAGAGAAACCGATGAATAGATATTGATCGTTCTCGTACGAAAAATCTGAAAACTCGCATATTTCATAGCTGAAAAAGCACACAAATCAGCCGATATACAGAAAAAAAATTATTGCACTCTGTTGAGGAACACTTGAAGAACATCCTCTGAAATTTTGAGACAAATCGAAACAGGCAGATTTTTTTCCAGCTAGGTCAAAATCAGCAAAAAACGCGATTTTCACGAAAATAGCTATTTTTAAAGTAGCATATCTCCGTCACTTTTGAATCTACAGAAATGGGCTGGGTCTCATTTTCTTTGTCTTTTCAAGAGCTATCCAATGCCGTACTTCAAAAATTGTAAATATTGAAAATTCACTGTCTTACGGCCCTTGAACATAGGCAAAAATCGTAAAAATCACTCTGCACTTTTGGGTCTCTAGGATTCTTATTATTACACGAACCTATATTTTATATTACGGCGCTATAAAGCTCTTGAGAAGACAAAGAAAATGAGCCCCTGCTTGTTCAAGTAGCTTTAAAACTCGAGATTTGAGAAGCAACTGAAAATAGGTCGAAAAACGCTTAAAAAAGGCGATTTTTTGATCTTTGAAACAGTCCTGTGGGCCTAATTTTTTATCTAGGGGGCTGAAATTTTGGGCAGTTTCTTTTTTTCTTATGTAGAATACGTGTACTAATTTTCAATAAAATCGGAGGACCCCGTGCGCACGGTTTTTCGATGAACTATAATTTTGACCCATATATATATATATATATATATATATGTATATATATATATATTCCATCTAAATCGGAGTCGAGCCTCAGTTATCAGACATACAACAATTAATCATTATATCTTTAAAGGGTAAAGATATCTTGGATTGACTACCTATACTTACTTTAACAATACGTTTATTGATATCACGCTTAGTCAAGAAATTCAAACGGAGTTTTCCAGTCATAATTACGCTACAAGACTACACAAGCACACTCGGAGATTGGCCTTCTACGCTCTCCTCGAAGATCATTGCGTCCTGATACGTAGTATAATACTAAGCCGTGTGAATGAAAAGTACCACTCTTAATTTCTCCAAGCGACATTCTTGATTTTAGTTAACCTGTTATCAACAAATTATCTCGACCGGCCGCAGTTTCTTAATTGTCTATATAATTCTCACACAATAACATTTTTATAAAAAGGTACACTACGCTTCACTAATTTAATAATATTTATAACCTTCATGTAATTAAAAGATATTTAGTTATTTTCTGCACAGTAAATATCCTAATTATTTAGGATTTCCTTTGAAGCTTGTGCAGTGATGTTGGTAATTTAGTTTGATAATTTATATAATCAATTTGTTTTAACTTTATAACATTAAACAACAAGATAGCCCATCACACATCAAGGCCTACGTCATTAACTACTAAATAGAGCTAAATTCCACTTTGGCACCAATAATATTTCATAAATAAAAATTTCTATCAGCATTCTTCTATTTCTACTAACGTACCACAGTAATAATTTCTATCGTCATCTATAAGAATATGTCTTATACACACATTTTTCAAAAGGTTGAAAATCCATGTATAGCACTTGACATTATTAAGATAAAGAGAATAAATCACCTGGGATAGTTTACCGACAAGACACAATACTGTCAACGGATAGGAATATAATTGACACTCACCTTCTCGTACATCTTATGCGTTTCATTGAAGGCAAGATAGTTGGATCTGAGCCAGGTTGACGCGAGATTTTTAGCTAAATCCATGGCGGGCTGATACTTTGTTTGCCTCAAACCTTGTACGACAATTGATTGCAGAGGTGCCCAAGCGTTCGGCAAATCCCATTGTTGGCCACTGTCGTCCAACGACGTCGGCACGCCACCTGCAAGAATTAGCCACTTTCAGATTTCCATTTACTCATATATTATTCAAACAGTCAACGCGTTCGACTAACTTTTTAAATGCATCAATTTCGAGTTACAAACGTTAAACTGTTTTTTTTTTTTTGGCGTAAATTCTAGTCTTTTGTTGTAGAAGAATAGAAGAATGATGGGGAAATATTGATGATCAAAATAAATCAAACATGATCAAATAAGTCCAAAAATACTTTATCTTGTTACACATTTTCAACTGAGTTTATTCAATTCAGTGATTCTATTCCTAATCTATATATAACTAGGTTAATGGATAGAATAACGTTTAAGAAATGGAGTTGCTTCGAATGTTTAACAAACCATGAAAAGCAAATCCAAATAAGAGCAGTAAAAAGCCAGAGTAAAGATTGACGTTTACCAAGGCGATCTTTGCATATTGGCGAAGCAGGCGCCAGCTAGTGTGTGTCTCTCAGTGTGTGCAGTCGAGAGTGGGGGGACTGAGTTGCGGTAGTGGCGTTGAAAACAGAAGCTTCATCAAAGCGAGCGTGACGCGCGTACGAAGTGCAAAGCTGCTCGAGGCCGAGATTTGCACGCCTTCTCTCGCTGCCTCACACATCGTGATCCCTTTGGCTGGTAAACACGCGCCGCTTCTTTTTTACTCCGCGCTGACCTTACTGCTTAGCCGTCAAAAAACAATTAAAAAAAAATGATTTTCATTTGATTCCGTGTGACTAAGTTTATCTGTATCTTGTGATCAGAACGAAACGCCGTTAAAAGCGACAATTTTGCGGATATAAATAAATGTGCCGGTTCAACGCGCCAAATACTTTATCTGATTTGAAAGGTTTGCGCCGCGACGAGTAGCCAATTTATCTCAAGAATGGTCAGTCGTTTGCACTGGCGCGCCGTCGCTAAGGTGCGCGTTAAAGCCGGCCCCGCTTTCTGTGGACAATGGCTGTGCTTGACATTGTATGGACTCTTTTTTTTTGTTTTCCGTCCTTTTCACATCTTGCACCACACACTAAAACACACGAGTTGTGATGTTAGTGGTTATTTTGCTTGCAAGACAATGCTCAGACAATGCTTTGCTTCAGACTCGAAAAAACTCAATCCAATTAAGGGCAGGCCCTCTGTCTTTTGAACTTTTCTTTTCACTCTGGTGTATAATAATTATACTCAACTACGTGTTCATTTTTGGTTCATTTCTGCGAGATGAGACTGTATTTGCAGGAATCATATTTCGAGCAAAAACGTAGGTCTTTCATAAGGGACTAGATTATTTTTAGTCACGAATTTTCATTTATATGTAATATGTATGTACAGACACACACACACAAACACACACACGCACGCGCGCGCACACACACACACACACACACATTTATATCCTATATTTATATAGGTATATTAAAAATTATACGACTTTACTCCTCCACCTTTATAGGATAAATATAACAAATTTAATACATGATAATGAATAATGTCAAAATTGTTTGCAATGAAATATTATTACTAAATTTATGTATAATTTACAAATGAATATTATAAATATATATGTATGTGTTGCAATGTACCGAAACCTCATACTGTATTTTTGAAAGATAAGTGAAAACTCGTATACTAAATCAGACGAGGAATTTTCTTCTTTTGTGAATAGCACATGTTTATTTTTAATGACATTTAAACAACATCAGTTAAGGAATTTATACCACTGATAATTTTGCATCGAATTATTACTGGAGCTTCATTAAAAATATTTCACCGTAAAAATGTTTGTACCTCGAGGGCAAAACGATGAAATTAAAAGAAAAAATCGAAGTATCTTTCAATTTCCATTCGAGTGAATAGTAGTTAACAGCTGGATTAACGTAACGAAAAACAAAGGAAAAAAAGTAAAGCCGAGTCATAAGTGCATTTGAAATATGTTACTGAATAAAGGTATACGCAGGGCAAGTTTTCATAAATTTTGGAGTTGCCAGGTAGACTCGGGATTGTTAGTTACAAAGACAAAAGCTTTGACGTTATGGAAACGTCTCTAGTACTTGATTTATTATTTCATAAAAGAATTATTTTTTTCATTTAGAAATACAATAACTCTGATCGGATTAAAAAAGAATTTTACATAAAAATTAAATTTTTCTTTTATACATATTGTAGAGCATTTACGCGTTCGCTAACGATTTCAAAAGAAGCCTAGTCGTTTGAATGCTCTTGCTGGAATTTATTAGAGAACTGTTTGGCAAGCTTTATTTGAAATGCTCTATTTTACGAATGAAAAACATAAAATAAAACTAGTTTTCCATCGTTTATAACAAATTAATCGCAGTCGTGTATGGCATATCTTTCAAAATTCAAGCAAATGGTTGTTTATACAAAATGTTTTGCGCGTACTTGAAGCCGTTGCTTAAATAATACAAATTAGAACAAAAGAGAATAGTCAAAACCAGAGGCTTTAACGGCGCGGCTCAATGTCCGCGCGCGGGCACGCAATAGCAGTCATAGCATTGTCGCGTATGTCATAATACGTGGGTTGCCAGCATCGGGGACAAAAGCTAGGCGCGAAGAGGTATTTTCAAAGAGAGCTTGCATGCGGGACACGCGAATGCATATTTCAATGCAACTCACTTTGAACGTGCATTCCCTCTCTGCCGGCACGGTATCGAGAAATGGAAATTCTCGCGCAAAGTTGTCTTTATTGACATATTTTTTGCTTTTAACGCCTTTGATTATCATCCGTGGCAATAATATCCATTTATGGAATTATACACGCGTTATTTCAGCAAGCCGACTACGAGTGGAATGCTTTTTATCCGAGATAATAAGTTTGTTTAAATTTAATTAATCGATACTCGAGGCTCGTGCCGAGCGTTTACCGGCCTTTTAATGGGAGCTTATATAATGTCACTCAAGCTAACGCGATTAATTAGCCCTCGAGAGCAGTCCATTAAACTTATGCACGAGGCCACAAGGAAATTTGCGTAGCTATGAATTGCACATCTCGTCTAATTGCTCCTAAGTGGACTGTCTTTCTCTCTCTGTCACTTTCGCGTTCCTCGTTTTGAGAGTCATTGAATTATCTAACAGTGTTATGGAAATTTGCAGCATAATCGAGTTTGTTGAATGCAGTATCAGCTTGTTACAACAAACAATTATTTTGTAGCTTATAGCATAAAGCAAAATTCAAAAGTAACAGTTTTTAACTTTGTTTAAACGGAAGCAAAGGGAAGTTCAATATTGATGGCGAAATATTCGAAACATTCATGTATTTTACGAGATTGAATACGTTGCAATGCGCTGGGTTTTCCATTCTCTTTCTTCTCTACCTCTTCTTTTTCTCTCTCTCTCTCTTCTTCTTCTCTTTGACTTTCCCGTGTGACACTTTAGGGAGATCGCGTTGAAAAGCAAACAATACTTGAAGAGCAAAGTCGTACGTGACTTGTGTCGATGTACTTTGGACGAGAATGGAAAGGACGCGTTCGACTCCTTACTCCGGAGAGATCTTTTTCTGTGACTCGGTCTTCAGAGAGTAGGGGTTTTTTCTCCATAGCTATAATATTTTCGAATTTCCTTATGTTCAAAAAAAAATTTATAGGCGTGAGGAATCAATAAAGTCAATTTGAAATTATTATTCGAATTGGTCTGCGGTCGTATCGATTGCAACAAAGGCATTTCGCAAACGTATTTCAGTCGGAGATGTCTGCTCGAGTCGAATATCTTTCAATTTACTTGAAATCGAAATTCGAGAGAGCAAGAGCTAAATGAAAAATCTGCATTAGCTGCGCGGCATTTACTGCCTGCGTGGCATCGGCTGTTTGATTAAAAAAATCAAGCTTACTGGGCAACTCTGATGGATATCGTCGATAAAACAGGGTGAATCCGAGCATTTAAAATGCTTTATTTCCGAGAGAGACAAAGAAACGAAAAAATGTATATAGAACCGTAAAAGAGCGATGATACGTATATCACGCGCAAGCAGATCTGTGATATTTTCGCTCGTAAAAAAAAGGTACGAAGATTGTCGAACTTGGTACGACTTCGTCTTATATTCTTTAGATGGCCGATAAAATGCAAGCGATACTCCGGCCTTTCTGCTTGATACACAGCAGCTGCTGTTCATCGGCGAATCCGAAAGACACGCGTAAGCTCGTAAATCAGTGTTGCGAGTGACTAATAAATTCGTCCAGGTAGAAAAGTCAACTAAAAGCTTTTGCAAGTGTGCAACTGATTTATCGTCTTTATTGCTGGTTCAATCGGAGACTCGACTGCATTGGTATCCGTGCCATTCGATGCTTGCCGTTGTCGTTGGCAATTCATTTACAAAGGGGGCGTAGACAGTGAATGGGCAATGAATCTCGCCCAATTAACGCGGTCGAGGTGTAACTAATGTAAGTATTGTTATTCATGCTTCTTTGCGCAGCGAGAATGAAAGCTCTGGAATTGGATTTCGATTGTTAAGCTATATACAAGGCACATTCAACGAATCCTAATGTCTTGTGCGTGTAGCTCGATAACTTGATTTATCGAATCTCTTTTCCCTTCCGACCTTTTTCGGCGCGGTGCCAGCCACTCCTTTAGAATAACCAAATTCCTGTGAGCAGAGTCAGGCAGTCGTGCTTCGAGTAATAAGAGCGCGCATATATGGGTAATAGGGATACCGGAGCTTGAGAGATAAAGTGATCGGTCGATATCAAATCGGATAAGAGAGTCAGGCAAGGAAGGAAGGAAGGAAGGAAGGAAGGAAGGAAAGAAGGCAGACAGGCGGCAACAAGGATCTGTGTGTACACTCACCGGCGAATTCTGTGATACCGTTGGCACGCAAGTAGCTGACTGTCCGTTGTCCGTAAATTGGCGCCAGACGCCAGTTATAGCTCATCGTGTAGAGTGGTGTCAGGTTGGTTGGATAGAAAAGGGCGCGTGGACGTTGGTGACGTATGTCATGATCGTACCACGTGCCTTCAAGCTCGTTCCACAATATTGCCTCGATGCCCTTGCGATATTCCCTCGCTATGGACGTGTAGTATTGCGATTTCTGTAATCCAGTCAACGACGTCTCGCCTTTTCATTCGTCAAAACACTTTTTCTCCTCCACCTATTCGTTATTTGTTATAGTACTCTACATCACAACTTTCGGCGAGCGTCTGTTCAAAGCATCGCCGGCAGCCTTAAAGCAATCAACGAGCCTCAAATTACCAGACAAAAGTGTCTGTTACGCGAGAGAGAAATCAAGAAATTTGCGGTCAATGGCATCCATCCGAAAAAGAGATTGTCTATGAATATTCAAGTAAGCATTGATTTCATTTTGTGCGAACTATTTGAATTGCGTAGCGAAACTGAAAACTTTATCACTCCTGTCGCGCGGATAAGCTTCGAAGTGCTTTTCAGTACCGAAGGCTTCTCGGCGTGAATCGAATCAGTTCCCACTCGGGGATCAAGTGAGAGCCATGGACTGCAATATCCAGTACAAATAGTCAAGCGAGCGAGTGGGAATTAATCATCAGGCGTGCTGAAAAATGCGTCTGGCGCGCAATCCCGACAAGAGTGATACGCGATTGGAAAGTAATGGGGTTACAGGACGATAAATCGTCGCTCTCGGCGAAAGTGAAAGTCGCTCTCAAGGGGGTAGCGGCGACGCAGCCGACTAATTGCGGCCAACCGAGAAGAGTAGCTTGCCAGAACAAGGCGGAGAACGACAGGGGGAGCGGGGAACAAATCTCCGTTGCACTCCATACGGCGAGAAAAAGAGACAGAGAGAGAGAGGAAAAGAGAAAGAGAGAGAAATAATGGAACGGGGGCGAGAGACAAAGATTTACGAGGGCGCCCTGCGCGATGTGTCTTTACACGCGCGAATCCATTGCTCGGAATGGAAGAGGACTTTTTTTCTTATTAAAGACTGCCGGCCTCTCGCCAAATTGCTCCATTCTGGTCCTTTGTCTGGCGCGAACGTATTCACTCTCACACCGCTATTGCATTTTTTCTCTCGCTGCTTTTTGCCTCGTTTCGTTATGATAAAGGGCTCTTTTTCACAGTGAAAGGTCGACTTTAATTACTCTTATTATTGTATAAGTGCTATAGGCACCAATGTAGGAAGAAAAACCGTCGTATACAAATGACTTGACGTAAGATTGAAATGTACATTGATAACTATTGTTTATCACCGGGAACAGCGCTCATTATCTTGCGACCAATCATTATCCAACAACCAACTCGAGAGTTACCGTGTCAACGAATGAGCTCTCTTTTTGATAAAATAAAATTACTGTACGTATGAGGAATTCTGAGCTTAAAATTGTAACACCGCTTGAAAAATACAACTCAAGCTACAACAGGAGCTCTGACAACTGCGGCGAGATCATTACTTAACTAATAGGTTTGGCATAGATAAATATGTTTACCAGATAGCAAACGTAATTCTCATTTTTTTCTTTTGTCGTCGGTCTTGGTGAATAGGAAATAGCGAGGAAATTGTCTACATCGTCGGAGAAAAAAGTTAAAAAAAAATAAATAAACAAGACAGCGTTTTTTTCCTCGACGAAAAACTTTTTCTGCCAGCGAGCGAAAGTCCCAGTCCATTTGTTTGGTGAATTATCTTGAAGCGAGATAGCAGCTCGAGATATAACCTTTTTGCGGCGATTTCACGCGACTGCTAAAATCGGAAGTGTCAGCTCTCGGGGTTTTTGGCGGTTGCCGTGGGCCAACATGACCGTACGAAATATTCCGGCTTTATCGCGAAAGCTTGCATTATTGACTTGACGCGCTTTCATGCCGAACCCGTACTTTCATGCGAGCGCGTCAAAGTTCGTGAAGGAAGGTGGAAAATTCAGCGCGTTTGCCGGAGAATATAATCAGGGTAAAGACGTGACGAAGGCGATCGATTGATGGCGTGCTAGGGAATCTCTGAATGAACTTGCCGATCGACACTATGATTCAATTGTTCGCGCTTGGCGTGAAAAAGGAAGAGAAAAAAAATTTCGCCCTCGTGATTGCTCGTGTCGAGCTTTCATCTTGTCATCTCAACCCAACCTTCTGATTTATCAGAGTTTGATTAATCGTTTAAATAGCAAGATGCGCGTATAATAGGGACAAATGACTCACGGCTATGTCGTTCTTCATGAGGAAGTATCGAGCCAGAATTCTTGCGTTTTTCTCGAGGAAGGCATTGAGATCGACTGGTATTATATCTTCGGTAGCGATGTCTCGGAGATCGAGCGATGGTTCGCCGTCCTTCGCGATGAACCAACGCGCCGAAAAGTCCCAACCAGTCTCCGCTCCTGCTTTGATGTTGTTGTAGAAAGCGCGCTTCTCTATCGGATCTGTTATATTGATCGCCAGCAAATAATCCTCTCTGTAACAGTGCCACGCTTATCTTATTTATCAATCGAGCTCGCTGCTCGCGTAAAATGCACGCGCGTCGTCATTGGAAGCTCTTGCGTCAAAGCATTTTCTCCTGCCTTAACATTTACGTCGGTGGGATAATGCAATTTATGTAACTTTGCCAGCGGTTGATTTAGTCCATTACCTAGCTCATCGATAATACACTGCCTGAGTGTGGTGGATAAAATCAATCGTCGATGAGCGGCAAATGTGTAATAGTTGTGAACTAAGAAGGGAAGCGCGCTGACCAGCGATACTCAAAGCTGTAGTATAATCTTGAGAAATTGTCTATTACAATCGAGTTAATTTTAGTACAAATGAGTTTTACGGCCTGATTTAACCGCGATAAATACACAGCAACCTGGTGCAAATTTAATGAATTTGATAAGTGTCAGTCCCACATCGAAGCGTAGAGAAACTAAGTGCTTTTACTTTTTTCAAACTTTCATATATGTAAAAAGTTTTTATTTAAAATATTTTAAATGTTTTCCACAACATCATTATTAACAAATTAAAGTTTTAATGGATTTCTTTTCTTCTCATTCAAGAAGAACATTTAAGATTGTTTCCGTAACCGTAAGCAAAGAAAAAAGTATGATTGAAAACTTTAATTGAGACTTGAGCTGAATGCAATCCAATGCTTTGGATATATATAAAAGTGCGCATTTTATGACTTTTCAACTTTTTACTCTGAAGCTAGTTTAGTGCTCGTTGCGCGGTTGCCTGCCGCAACTTTTAAAAGCATCAGGCATTCAGCGGAGAAAACTTTGATAAAGCTCCGGACGTGTTTCTTTTTTTCAAGGCTAGCTGAAAATACTAGTATGCTTGTGAAAATTGAGCGATGCGAAATTGCACGGAAACCGTTGTGAGCGCAAGTGCGAAGTGGTCGCGTAACGATGCAAAGTCGACGGAGCTGACGCAAACTTTGGAAACAGCAAAAAGACCATGGGAGTTACCTGTAACTCTCGGGACGTGGACCTTCGCTGTTGACGACGTAACGAGCCATCTTGTACTCGCGACCGTTCTTCTGAACTTTGATGGATCTGTGGCGCTGCCAGAAGTCGAACTCTTTCTCTAGAGTCTCCAAGTGTCGATCCACAAAGTCCCAGTCTTTGGTGAATTCGTAATACATGTCAACCTAACGCCCCCATTACGTAATTTATATGAGTCACGGCTACATTTCGAAAATGAATTTAGCGCGTCAACTCGACAAGTTATAAATACGTTTGCAATAAAGTGTCACATTACTTACCATAGGTATCAATAGCGGTGGTTGACTTCTCATGAGGTAATAAACTCGGCCGCCGTTGGGTATAAAACCGTAAGTGTTGACAATTGAAAGGAAATTCTCAATGATACCTCTAGTGGTGAGCCTCATATCGCTTAACAGTAAGCCCTCGAGCACCCAGTACGAGTCCCAGTAATAAAATTCTAAGAACAAAATAAAATTTTATTTTCCCACAAACGTGCGCAATTACTTAGCGCTTGTACGTCGCGAGCAAAATAAACGAAAGCTTGATTGAGCAAAGTTAAGTCAAATATTCGCATGAATGTTCGACACTAGCCAGTAGACGAAGCACGAGTTTAGTCAGACGTCGAGCCTTCGCAGCAGTAACGAGTCAACGCAAGGCATTAGCAGCGCTGGATCTGATTAGCCGTTAATGTTACCCCAAAGAGATTATAAATTGACGTGTTATCAAGATTGAAACCTTTGAAGCGTCCGCCAGGAATGATGAAGGTGTTGTTGACGTAAATTAAGCTGTGTCGCTTGGGATTGTCGCGGACGTTTGTGGTCATGCGTTTGGCCAGTCCCTTCCAGATCTCATTGAGGTCGGCCACCCACTCGCGGTATAGCGGATCCCTTACCCACTCCAACAACTCAGGCTTGGGATTCCAGTCTGGCAAGGTCGCATTTTCCAATTCGTTCATCGAGGAGAAGTTCTCTTTCACGAAGTTGCGTATCTGATCCTTGCTCGGCGCATTATTTGTCGCTTTCATCAACTTCTGAAAGCTGCACAAACGATCGACTTTTCTTGTAACGCTTAGTGTAATGCTTTGAGGGACAATCTTTTGAGGAATGTCTCCGATTAGACGAGAAAAGTATACGCGGAAAAAGTAAACGCGAAGATTTCGAGTTCTTTTCTGAAGCGGTACACCGATGTATCCGCAACAAACAACTTTTTCCAACGAAACTATTTAATCGAAACGAGAAAAACGATTTTGAATTGTTGAACAAGGCGATTTTTATTAAATTCGCGAGTCGTAATTTTTTTTTGCTTTCCATGAAAATATCATGCGAAAATTCACCGCAATTCACAAATGTCTCTAGTAAAAATGCTCAAATCTCACGATTATCGTTATTACTCCTTTCAAGTCAATTTTTAGCGCTTCCGCATTGAAGTCGCGACAATAAAAGTAAGCTATTATGATACTTGCAGAACAAGCAAGCAAGTAAGTTTTACGAGGCACGCGGGAAGAAGAAATGTGGATAACAAAGGAAAAATCGAGCGGAGTGCGAAAACGTGTCAGTCGTTGCCAGCATAAGAAGGGCGTCACGACGCTAGTGCAAAGTTGACACGAAAGAGGAGTTACTAAGGCGGACTCTTGTAATTCCACGACGCAGCGCGTGAGTTTGACGCATACCCTTTCTCTCTCTCTCTCTCTTTCTCTCGCTATCTTGCTTTCTACTTACTTAGCTAGCGTGACCTCCTCGTCGTTCTTCTGACTGTAATCGACAAAGGTCTTGCTGTCGGGTTCGATCTCTGCTAACTGCACCGTCTTCAACAGCTCGCCTTGGCAATAAATCGGACTGAAACAAAAAACCGAACATTAATCCCTGTTTGCTATGCTATATGGACTCAGCCAGATACCGATTCGAAAAGCGAGAAACAAGAAATTGCAACAGTTAGTTTGCTGTTTCTTGCAATAAGCTCTGCGTCTCTCGAACAGCAACGCCTCCAGTTGAAGTAAAACTTGCTTTACTGTTCATAAACGCGCAATTGATTCATAAAAACTACAATCATGTCGGCTGTACGTAATTTATTGTAAATTTTATAGGCCCTCTTTTCAGCTGTACTCCTCTTCTCATAATATCGTAGATAAATGAAAAACTTTCCTCGCAATAAAGCTGTTTTGAAATTCAAAACAACCTACTGTATACTTTTAGAAGCTTTCGAATAACTTACAATTTCTGCATATCGTTTGGGCGATTCTACAGATAATAAAAGAATGATATTTTTCATTGTAAAGTAGATAATATTTCTTGTTATGTGTGAAAGTTCAAATTCAAATCGTTATGTAAAAAATTTACATGACGACAAATACGATATGCATTAATTATAAAATCAATATAGAAGTTCACACTAATGGAACTTCTTTCAAGTTTCATTAGTTCATAAAGTTATCTATATTTACAAAATCTTTAAATACTATTGTATTTAAATTTAAAAATAGTAGCTTTGAATTCAAAGTTAAAACGTTTACTGAATAAAAATTAAAGATAATGAACGAGGGAAACTAAAACAGTCAAAGTTGGTCTAAAATAAAGCAATTCCATTGAACAGCACAAAGGGTCTTTTAAGGATGTAAGGGTATCAGATAAGTGGAATAGATTCAAGATAAAACGAGGAGAGAGAGAGAAGCCTCTAATACGTTGGTTAGCCAAGGGGAGAAGCCGAGCAGTCTGAATAACACCAATACAATGGACAGCAGATGACGTGTTTACAGAAACGTAAGACTGTTCTAACCATGCCATGGTACATTGCAAGTCTTTTAATCTTCCCAAAAAGACTCTATAAACAATACCTTGTCAGAAATATCTATCATTCAGGCTAATCTCCAAGTTCTTGAAATTCAAATAAAAGAATCGATAAATATGACGTTGATAAATAAAACAAATAAACATACCTCGAATCCATTCCAATTCCGATTTAATTTACAGCTTCAATTTCAATTAGCCTACTGGTGTTCTAATGCGATTGTGACCGCTATTATTGGAAACCACAGTAGATGGCTAATCCTGAAGAACGGTGTTCAATATCAAGAAGATATTATATATATTCAATACATGCCGCGAAGAACTTAAATTTGGAATGTGTAATGATTTGAAGAAATGAATGGTTTTTTTCAATATTTCGGTTCTTCACTCAACATAACGAGATCACATTGTAATAACTAAAATGATTAAAGAAAAGGTTCGTGACCAGCGTTCACCGTGCTTTACTGGAATAATCACATTGATAATTGAGAAATAGGATCATAATAACGGCATAACTTTACTGGAGCTTTCGTATAATTTATGCAGTTAATTCAAACAGCCCCTCGATTATATCATATTTTCATTCAACGACGTACAAGTTATTTCTAGCCGACTGCGCAGTGATTAATTTTTTCTTTCTAGTGATGCACCAGAAAGGCAAAGATGAGTAAGCTACCCGTTCGTTTATCAAAGAGATGAAGCTAGCTAACTTCACTTCCAAATGATATTTACACGTACAAAGCTGTTCCAATTAAGTGCTGAGATGAAGAAAAAGAGTCGAGGCATAGGACTGTTGAGCGCCGTGTACTGACTTGGCACATGGAAGAGTTCAGTTTTTGCTTGCCACTAGCTTACTCAAATAACATGAGTAGAGTAGTAGCTCCGAGATATTCTAAGTTGTTAATTATCGTAACATATTTTCTAATTTTCCACAGGCTGACGTTTTAGCGTATTTTTCCGCTACTGTTAATTAACTCTCATAAGCTTTGACAATCTTCTCATTACCTGTCCTTTGAAGCAATAAATTGATATCTTTCTCAAGATCTCTTTCAATGATTGTAAAGTATAAAGTTCAGATAAGATCAAATATCGCTCAAATATGCTATGTAATATTTAACGATTTAAATCACTTATACATAATTGATTGGAAGGATCTCTAATCACAGCGACAGTTTCACTCGATAAACAGCGAACTTTGTTTGGCGTGTCATTAGTTACTGGAAAGTTTAAATTGACGTACGTATACCGTATAGCAAGCTAAAGAGTTAATAAATCAACTGAGCATGTAGCTGTGAATCGGACAAAGCTGACAAGCTTGATAAAACGGCGAAATGGCAGCGGTTGGCAAAGTATCGAATTTTCTTTCGTGGCTCGATTGCACGGAATATATCCAAGCTTTTATTGCTTTTACTACACATTCACTCGGCCCTCCTCTTTTCATTGCTCGAAGTTCTTGGGCAACGACCAAGGGAGCAGTAAGCGTCTTAATTATGCGCAATCGGTTTCTGCCGACGAGACTTATGTAAGGACTACTGGGGCATGTTCAATTCAGCGAAAAAATTGAGCCTCTGCAAGCTCGTTCATTACCGCAATGTCGTCCCTTCCTTTTGTCGATATTTCAGATTTTCACGACTAACTGCAAGAATTCTAATTACCATTTATTTCTGTCATATCTTCTGAATTTCTCTCTTTTGCTCGCTTGGAGAGCTAAAAGTTCTCAAACTATAGATTTGACGTGAGATCGCGTGATAAAACTTATGTGATAATAGTTCCGCGCTAGTAAATAAAAAGTATACATTGAAGTGACCTGTCAATCATCGGGACAAGTTCAAACGAATTCTCATTTATAAGCCAATGAAAAGAAAATAGGTAGATGCGTTATCTAATCGCTGGATGGTTACGAATACCTTAGTGAATCAATGATTGCAAGGTTTCGATTGATGAGTTCAGATAATGCGGATTTTTTTCTGATTTCAAGATATATATTCAACATGGTAAAGTATAGACGGGAAGTAAGGTGTGTCTTGGGATAAGTGATGGATGAAGATGTTGCTTTCAGCAAATATACAATGGAGTGGTTATTTTTCGTTCTATTCGCACAAGTCAACAATGCCAAATTATAATCAATTATTTTATGTATACTGTTTTTAGGTAAGTTTAATAACTGCCATTATCGATCGGTTTCTAAGTAAGATTTAATACGAAACTTATCTATCGGCGATACTAGCCATCAAAAATTGACCGTAGCAGTAATTTTGGTGGAAGACGAAAGCAAAAGAATCCGGTAGTGAAGAACAAATTACTGGACTAGTGACCGGATTAACGCGTGATACAAGAAAAATGTGAAGCCTTGGTTTATCGGAAGCTCGTATCTACGACGGAAAGGCAGCGATAAAAGTCTCGGCTGACCTAGTAGCATTCGCGACAAGCTACCTACGATCAATTTATTTACTTTACTCACACGCACACACAGATTCTCCCGTGACATTCATGTTCATGACCTGAGTTCGCGTAATAACGCTAATAAAGTTAAGTACATTTCTCCGCGGTAAGATCCGAGTCGTTCGAGAGCTCAACTATTGCTTTATCGCGCACTCGCGGCTGACCGAGGCACCCGAGATTTGATGAACCTTCAAGTTTTCCGATTCACAGCTATCATAACTCGTCGGCGCACCAAAAGTTTACCCGCGCCAGCTCACCAAGTATTTCAGCGTATTTCAGCCCCCCCCCCCCTTCCGTCGCGTCGCGTTTTTATGTTGCACGGATGGATCATTATTAGGACACTACGCCAGATCACACGACTTTTACGACTGGCGGAAAATCATAATTCACTGCAACGCAGAACGCGGCTAAAATTCCGCAAGACATTATCGACAATATTGTTGCGTGAAAGGTAAAAGAAATACGCTATCGTACTGCACTGACGACAATAAAAATGCACCCTCGAAATATAAACGTAGTTTCGTTGTAATGAAATGAAAAATAAAAGTTCCAACCCGCGGTAAAGTAATCAACACATTTTCTTTTAGGCAATGCGCGTCTGGTTGACGCGGTTAAATAAAGAGATTTCGTGCCTTCTACACGGTGCACGTTACCAAGTTACATGCGTGCGAAATTATTGAAACATATTAGAGTGAAAACATTTTTCTGCGACTTTGAGATCTCTGTATAAATATTTTCGCTACGCTTTGCTCGGAATGAAAGCATAAGCCTACAGTTATTTTATTCTTATCAATGCGGAAAACGACCTGTTTACTAAATGGAATGAGCAAAAAGAATAGTGAATGTAAAATTAAAATTGCAGAAGAAACTTTGACGCGAATGAATGGATTAGTGAGAATCTTGAAATAAAAAATTACGCGTATTAAGTAGTAATTTGTTAATAGATAACATAGCTATGTTAATTAATCTTAATATAATGCAACTATAGGTATGTAGTTTTCAAGGAACCTCCAATCCTACATAAAAGAGTTTGCATACCCCCTGTAGATTTAGCATTGTATTGTTGGCACCTACAGAGTTGTCTGTTTATCAAATAAACAATAAAAAATATTGATTATGACGTTACCGTTCGACTCACCTATGACAGAGATCAAACGTTTCCTCGGAAGGCGCATTTTTGACGAAGAGCTTTCTTGTCGTCGGCTTCTTTGGGTAAGTGCTGACAGTGCTTACTGCAACTAGTAACAGTAACACCAACCGACATTTTTTCGACATGTCTGAGTAATCGCTGTATGTGTTACTTTTATGTGCAGCGTGTAAGCTGGGCAACAGCCGACTGACAGCAGCGAGCGCGTGCGAGTTTTAATACACACAGCAAGGAACAACAGAGAGAAAGAGATAAAGAGAGTATGAGAGTGAGTAGAGTCGATTGTGTCGTCTGGTTGGCGTTACTTGAACCAGACCGGACAGTGCTACGATCCACGTTTTATATATATACTCACTGATCTCCAGCTCACCTCTCGACTCCCGACTTATTTGACGTCAACTTTTTAATGACGTCACCCCGTTATTGTGTCAAAAACATGGCGCCGAAATTCATTGTTCAGTAAAATTCGAATGGCTGTTTAGTTCACTGCACAGATAAAAAGTAAGATTAATGGCCAAAATCGAAAAAATAGACTAGAAAAAAATGTCAGTTTAGGACGATATTTGTAAATGCAGATATTTGATCGGCGTACATTCTTGTCCTCTCACATTCTTATGCACGTAGGATCTTGGAAGGTTTAAAAAAAGTTTGTTTCCCGATTTGAGCCCTTCGTTACCTGATACAATTCGCACATCTAAAATTGGCCAAGGATGAATTAACAAGGTTTTTAGATTACTGTCACGCAAATACGTTTAATTGCAAACATTTTTATCGGTGATTTAACATTTCTCTTATAGAAAAAAACCTTGAGTCTCGAGTTATCTGCCAACTCATACTACGAATACCGTGGATACACCACTAATTGTTTAATCTACATTCATTAGTCCAAATATTTATAAAACGCACGATAAATATTTGATAATGCAGTCCACATGCATTATCAAATATCTACTGGACACTTCAGTTGAACTCATTTGCAGCATGCTAATAATATATAAATGAATATAATTTCGCGGAGAAACCATGACGAGCTTTGAGGTGCTGGTCTCGTTTAACAATAGTCAACGTTCAAAGCTTCCGCCTTCAATGCGACACATCTAAAGACTGTGGATGACCGTTGTTAAATTGACAATGTCGACCGAGACAGCTTTATTAATATCGCGTACCGTCTTGTTTGCCGTGGAAATTTCGACTCGCATTCAGTGATTATGTTGCCAAGTGAATGGCATTTCCTCTTGGAGATTGCATAATTATCTGTATTAAATTTGCCTTTGGCTATTTGTTGTACAGTTTCGCTCCAAATACGTGATTTTGTAGTTCCGCGATAATGAGCTACAGACCGGCTAAGTGATTTATGAAAAAAACTTTTGAATTGCGCTATAAAACTTGTGCAAAATTATGGCTTCTTTCTCGCGATAACAATATGCCTGTATCTCATGATCATGTTTTCATAATCAATCGATTAAAAAATACAAAATACTACGTAACGGGCCGACATATTATTGCTCGCAATATAACTCGCATCGTATTTTATTGACACTCAAATATTTTGATTTATCAAGATGATCTCTGTTCGTAAAACAATGTACGTAGCTAGCGATGCGATCGTAGTACTTTTCCTAAATTTCGAACTTCCCGATAGGCCGCCTCAATTATACTGCTCACTTTCGTGTCCCCGTAAACTTTTCCTTTTAGCGCCGCTCAGTATTGAATTCGCTCTCACTTTTTGAAATTATTTCCGAGTGCCAAACGCATACGTTTACCATTTTCTACTTTTATAGCATGCAAACTGTTTGTTAGCTCTGAAAATAAACTTTTCCATGAATTGCTGTTTTCATTACTGTTGGATTAATCGTATATTATTAATCAAACAAACGCTCTCGTTCTTTCTGGGACAAGTGCTGCGTTGCACTCGTTGACTGCAATGAATCTTAAAACGTATGCATTTACGTCAAAAGCTAACTTCGTAAAAGTAAAAATAAATATGTCACAAAGGGAAGGATAAAACCTTTCTGCGCCACTGCGGACGACGAGCATTTAATTAGAAGACGATTTTCTCATGGAAAAACGAATCAAGAGACTCAAAGTCCTTTTCTAATCTTGGTAATTTCTTTTTTCTTTGTTCCCTCATTCCCACTGCACAGTCTTGCAAAGAAGCTTTAACTCATTAGTATACGGTTCGCAGAAATGATGGCTTAAATTAGCTGCTGCCTTTCACACTAACTTTGACTAATTCAATTAATCCCTTTTAGATTAGTTACATATCAAGTTGATATAGACTATACCTGATTAATGAGATATTCATACAATATATTGTAATGAAAATTCCAACCAATTAGTGCTCAGCTAATTATACTGAAGATGCATTCATTGTAATTCAACTACATCTTGGTGATTTCAACAACTTATTTCTTCATATAAAGTGCCTATAGTAATTTAAAATAAAAGCTCACTGTTTCTTCTTTGAAGAAAACATCAAGTTGCATTGATTCATAGTTTACTCATCTACAGTCGTCTTATTGATATTTGATCAACGAAAGACTTATGAAGGGCACGATGTTTATTAAAGTTAAAATTCAAAATAACAATTTTAATCCACTATTTTAGCTGGCTTTTTGAAAGACGTATATTAATCTCGAATTCACAATACTCTCAAAGTTTTCGTATACTAATAGCTCGAAGACTGATATGTCAATATTTACGCAGCTGCATCACTCAATGACCTTATAAATATTAGATGAAAACACGTTTAGATACTTATTGTTATTTGGAACATTTAACAAAAATTTTAATTATTCGTAAAATTTACAATTACAATTCGATCAAGATGACGACATCGATGATTAATGGATGGCAGTTTTCTCCCTCCCTCTTTCCCCCTTCTATCTCTCTTTCTCTCTCTCTCTCTTTCGCGTCACATAACATTCAGGTCGCAGTCACTTTATTTCCTATTGTCGTCGGTACATATAAGAGTAACCCTCTTCGTTGATTTCTTGCTTTTTGTTCATGTTTTGTTTGCTCATGAAATACCGAGGCATTTGCTTGTTCATGGTTTACGGCTAAGCGTCAAATAACGATGCATTGCGTACTCAAGTCCTATCGACAGCAACCAAAAAGAAACAGGTGTACAAAAAATATGAACACGGTGATATTAATGGAAGAAGCCACTTGGCAGGTATTATGGTCAGGCTGCGCTACTCTCAGGTTTAGAAATTGTCTTGCGTTGGATGGCTCTATGATACACTGTACGAGATAACCTTCTGTTCGTCGATACATGCATAGATCCATAGATCCACCGACGCTTGTTCTTTATAACAAGATTGACGTTTTTCTTTCATCAAAAAAAGGATAGACTAAAAAACGGAATGATAGCTTCTGCAAAGGAATTGATGATCAACGTTGGAAAGACGTAAAGTCGATTAGTGTGTTATTTAATGTTTACAATTCGACCACGAGTTAACGTACGCGCAACTATTTCAATTAGAATTCAACGGAACAAAGTATTTCACGAGTTATACAGCACTCAATTTTAGATCAAACTGTAAATTAGCAACTATTTCCATACTCTCGCTTTGATGCAGTTACCACAATGTTATTGCGGCTATCCCATGTGAAGAACGTACGTAGGTCTCTAAACAATTACCTGCATCTATACCGCATGATCAGGCGAACCTAGACTACGTGGCAACATTCGAAATTATGCTCCGTCATATTTGCACTTGATTAGACGGTATTTACTCTCAGTTTATTTGCACATTAGACAGGATTTCAACGCATGAGGTAATACGTTATAATTTTTACTTCTGCAATACATTTCATATGTTTCTTCAGCAGACTAGCTTTCACATTAAAATAATTTTAAAGGGCAAAAGTTGAGCAGAGTTCTTTTATAACTTGAAATTTATTTGAAAGTATCAGTTTCAACTTTAGGCTATGTATTTGAAAAATGCTGATGAGATATTATCCGTCGTTTGAAAGCATTTTATCTGTATTATGACTAATGTTTCGCACTTTATGACTTCATTCGAAAATGTCTGTCGCACATTGCGATAAAAACTTATGTACTCCAATGCACACTCATTGTTATTGACGAGCCGAAAAAAACGCAAATTATCGTCAAACTAATAAAAAAAGCGGATAACAAGGCTGGAGGAAAAGCACAAGGAAAATAACCCACGTCGAGTGAATTAAACGAAGAGCATTTCAAATTTATAGTGACTGAAAATTATCGTTATTGTTTCTCCAAAAACTGCGTTCGTTTTGAAGACTACCGAGGTACAGTGGCTATCTGTATGCATTACTCTTGCTTTCCTACAGTCGTGAGAAGCATGCAATCCGCTTCTCCCACCTCTTTTGTCGGACTGTGGGTACAGAATTTTTAGATGCATCATTACTGAACCAACAGTTCAAGATGTAATCCAAACCATTAAAAATAATTTGATTTTTGAAAATGTTCGTACGTTTGGATCTCGAAACTGCGATCACTTAGAGAGGTCTGAACACTTGCACTTATTGAGCCATCGTGACTCGGTAAAGTTCGTAGTTTGATATGAAGGCGGTCGTGGCGTCCGTTATTGGCCGCTCGCTTGCAGAGGGAAGTATACCGGAATCTATCGGGTCATTACTAGTTGAAATTTACATAATCCCAGGTTGGAAGGCACAAGTGCACACACGTCAACGCACACACGAGAGACCAGTCGTGCGCGCGTACGCGTGGGCAAAGGAGCTCGAGCAAATTATCTTAATTGTTCTCGATAAACGTTTATCACCCGGCGCCATTACCCTGTGCGCGGTAACGTGGCTCGCTTTCGCGATACGATGCCTGTCGTTCTACCGCTGACGTTTCTTCGTCACGGGAAATACATCCGCCACCGGTTTTTTTCCTCTTCGCGCCGCAACGCGTGTGCACATAACGCGATCGTTACTCTTGCTTTTTTTCAGCAACGGATGCAACGACAGATCGCTCCGAAAATATTCATTTTACGAAAATTTACGAGCAGGGATTGAAAAGAGTGTTGTAAAAGGCAACGCATCGAAATTCAGGATCGATTTTGTGGCCCTCGAAAAAGCCTTGGTGCGAAATTAATTCCACTTCCACCCCAGTCGGTATTTATTCACATGCTGCATTTGTTCCCAATACAATTCGACAAGTTTTATATTTGAGGATCGAGTTTCAGCTTCTACGAAACATCTAAGTAAACACGCGTCTACGCTTTCGCGCCCGGCAGCTAGACCATTTGTACCATCGAGTATCATTAAGGCTGAGTGCGCTCTCTGCAAATCGTGCACTCGCAACTTT